CACTTTTCTGCCACTGAATATAAAGAAGCTAACGGTAATCACTGAAGCAATGATGATTATTGACTGAAAGGTATTTTAAAATGTGAGCTCCATTATGTAGAGCTTAGCAAGCAGCTGCACCGATGCTTTTGAACTCCTTATTTCGGCGAAGGGGCTGTAAAAATATATGGAAATATTAGCAAAGAGGCATAGGTGCAAATCCTAACCCGACTGCAACCGATGGGGGTGCACGGGTGACTTCAAGTGGGACAGGGATCAGAAAAGTCAGGCTTGATGCCCGTGGCTGGTTTTAGCGGAAAGCTGTAGGATCAAGCTTGTTTGGAAATTCAGCCTTGTCAAACCGAGCCTAAGTTTGGGCTTTTTCTTCTCCATCTCACGTGAACTCAAAGGAAAGCAGGAGATCAGGTATTGCGCTGCTGCCCCACGTTACTCCTCGCCCCCAGTTACATCTTTGGAGTTTTCTGGGCCTGTTCCCGTGAGGAAAGTCTGAATGCCATGAGAAACGTGAGCAGGATTTGGCCCTGAACAGTGAGTGCTTACTACTTGAGAAACTGAGCCATGGCCGTTGTAGTGGTGGGGAAGTGCAGTGAAGGAAAAGTAGTTTCGGGGATTCCTAAAATAGAAAGTAAACATAAATATTTCTACTTTGCACGTCAGATTTCAATCACCTCTCAAAACAACCGAGCTTCTTGATTTAATTAATTACGGCTTTTTTGTGTGTGTGTGTGTGTATGTGTCTTCGGAAAGAGCCAAATGAAAATATCCTCTTTGTTTCCCCTTTGTAACTACCGGAGCTTTCCTCGAGTTTTAACTCTTCTGCCACCCCAACACCCTCGTTTTTCTATGCTCTTCTTATCGCTGCTGTCCCATGGCAAGCCCCAACGCCTGGAACATTTTGTAACGACTATGTGACAAATTGTTGGGCTTTTATTCGCGTCGGACATCTTTTGCCAGGATTGCTTGTTGTTTTTTCTGTTTGGCTGTGTCATGGGACCAAAGGTGGCCGCTTTTGTGCAGCATGTCAAATCTGGTTAACATGCAGCCATTTATCTTTAAAACCCACTCCTGCACAATGGCAGGGGTGTATTGGGCCACTTGTATGGGCTCCAAGCATCACATGTACATATATATATATATATATATTTATTCTTTTTTTCAGTGCCATCCTCTATACGTGTGGATGCACCTCAGGCTGAGGCACTGCAGTGAGCAGGTCATGCAGCAGACAAGATGTTTCATAATTTTGGGAACCTTTTAGAGACAAATTGTACAGTGCAAGTGTAGTGTAACTGAACTGCTGGTTGCCCAGCGAAGTGTAGAAAATCAGATACAGCACAGCCTGAAAGAATGAAATGAGAATTCATATCTATGTATATACACGGGACTTTATAAAGAATTCATATACAGAGAAAACCACATTTATTCTCTTTTTCTCTGCTTATATTTGAGGACTGAGCTTGGTGGGTGTGTGTATAAATGTGTTTATGCGCATGGTATATATTCATACAAATAATATGCCACGGGATATGGGAATAGTTGTGTGTGTGATGCATTTATATGCATAAGTGGTAGGTTTGCAGGTTAATGCCTGCTTGACTCTGCGTGTTTATGTGTGTAAATGATGGAAAGGTGCTCAGCACGATGACAAGATGAATTATCCTAGAAATAACATTAAAAAGCCCCAAACTTCCACAGCAAAGTTTGCAGCTTTGGGTGCTTTTCCGATATTTAAGTCACCCAATGACGTTTCTGATGAAAATTATGTCCTTACAGATACGGCGATATTTATCAAATAAAGCAGCTGGTAAAGAAATGGGAAAGTTTGATTCCAGAGAAAAAATGAGGGCTGGCTGCAAAGTCTTGGTGCCTTTTTGCAGTCGAAGCATTTGAGATAGCGGGACTCAATGTTTTTTTAATGATTTGCTGTGTTGTGTAATAATTATACATATAGTGCAGTGAGGTTACTTGGAGGAACACCGCGCTATGTATGTTTTTTTTTTTTTTTTTTTTTTTGAGCAAAGGACCCAGGAGATTGCCTTTCACTTTGAAAACAATCCCTAATATCAGGAAAATGCTCTGTTTGTTTATGCGTACATAATGCAAGTTTGTCCGCCTGGGAACTGCAGCAAATGGGAGAAGTATGCATGGATTTCACAGGTAACAGGATTACGTGGGCACATAATTGATCCATTTGGAGAAAAAAATGACAGTGCTCTAAAGATGCCTAGGCTTTGGAGATGGAGTTTATGAAACAGGCATTTGTAAA